ACTCCCATCACCACACATAGAACTGCCTGCCGCACTAGTGCCTTGGTACAAGGCTGGCAGCATTCTAACACATCTCATGGAGCGGTCTGCGTTGGAAGGGACCTTAAAATCATCCAGTTCCAACTCTGCTGCCATGGGCAGGGACACCTTCCACTAGACCCTTTAGGCACTGGAGGCTGCTCTAAGGTCTTGGCCAGCACCTTCTCTTCTCAAGACCGAACAACTCTCTCAGCCTGGCTCCATAGCAGAGCTACTCTGGCACTTGGATCATCTCTGTGGCCTCCTCTGGACTCACTCCAACAGCTTCACGCTCCTCTTGTGCTGGGGGCCCCAGAGCTGGGATGCAGTACTGCGGGGCAGAGGGGGGGCTCACAAGGATGCAGAGGGGGAGAATCACCTCCCTTGGCCTGCTGGACGCAGAAGCCTGTCTTGGGCAAAGACTGAAGAAGTGATGAAAACATCTCCTTGGCTCTGCCCTGAGCTGGGGGAGATTAAAGCACCTGAAACACGTTTGGGTTCATGTTAAATTCAAGGGCAATGCTTTTGCAGCATGGCTCCCTAATCTGGTATCAGAAAAAAGTTCTCATGGATAAACAAAGAAGCTTAGTTATGAATTTGATGTCATATGTGAGACAGTTGAGAAGCTCCTTCCCAGGCTGAATAGTTAAGAACCAAGCCTCAGATTTGTCAGAGGATTCAGCTAGAGCTGAACACGAATCACTCGGTTGCAAGGAAGCTTTAACAGCCTTGCTGCTATTCTACCTTTAAATACAAAAATCTCATAAATCTATTACATACTTCTAAGTGGGATCCTGAAGCAAGAATAGCAGAAACAGTAATGCTAGAGAGAGGTTTGTGTTCCAGTTCTTTCCTTCTTCCCTGCTTCAATCATTTAGAAATGCAACTACTTCATGATTACTCAGATTATCCAAAGAGATGCAGCTTGAATCTCAGCTCCCAGCACCTGTCCACATTTATTTCAAGCCAACTTTACATCCTGGACAAATCTATTCTTCCTTGACACCTGCCTGCTTGCAAGGCCTTTGGTAAAAGGCGGACAGCTGCTGGGATACGGAGCTGCGCTGAAGTGACTGATGATACACTAAAGCTTATTTTGGCTTTGTGCAGCAAAAGAAGGGGGTGTTACTCAGCAGGAAGCAGTAACAAGGCAGCAATGCTAAGCTAGTTGTTCAGGATGAGACGGAAGCAAGGGATGGGATGAACACTTCTTGTGTGTCAGAAAGGATCTCCCTGGCTCAGGATGTTCTGAATCATTTTCACAGTGCTTGTATCTTCCTCCAGTCAATACAGGGAAAGCCAAAATCAGTAGTCTAGCTAAATACAGCTGGATTGGTTTTCTTTAATAGCTGAAACATGGGATACAAATCCCAGTGAACTAACAAGTAAGTCTGGGGAATATCAGTGCTGCTACTTTGGGGAAATCTTTCTGTTTTGCGATTTGTTAGAGCAGATTTCTCAAACACTGACAGTTTAGGGGCATGAGAGTCTGATGAAAGCTGACATGTGCTATGACAGTTGGCTTGCACTTGATTCAAAATGTTAGCAGATATAACCTTATCCCAGTTAATTATTCAACCCAAGTTATTAGCAAAGTCTGAACTGTGGATTATTAACAATAATAAAACCATCATGCATTTTAAGAACAAAAACTTAGGAGAAAAATATTAATATGGTGATTGTTAAAAAACCATATCCAATTCATTTCAGATGGTATCACAGGTCACTGTTAACCAGTGCTGGTCCAAGCCTTTTCCAGCTTCAACCGTCTCCTCCCCAACAGTTCTACAACCTCCATACCATGACTAGCTGAAAAAGAAACCAAGTATGTGTGTGTATATTTATAAATGTCCATACGCACATATATATTACGTGGTTTTATATGTATGTTTTAAATGAGTCACTGTTCAGTTCCTACTCTGATAGGAATCCATGATGCTATTCAAGTTTCATGCACAAGCTAAGTATCTTTTGAGAGAAATCACAGGATGTTTGTTCATTATTTTGGTTCACTACGTGGGCCGAAGGAATATTGGGAAAACCACCACACCCACGTCAAGGACTTCTTGTGCCAATACCTGATGCTCCTTCATTTAGTGTTAACGTGCTGCAGAAGTAAAAGGTGGAATTTCCTCTCACCTCCTCTGAAATCTCTCCCACTAGAAAAATCTACCACCACAGTTCTGACCAAGAAACTCTACTGCCAGTATTAGTCAGCATTAATGATGAGAACAACAATGAGGTAGCTTGTCAGGAGCACACTGTGACTCAGCCTGGCTTCCCCCAAGTCCTTCTGCACCATTACACTTCAGTATTGTCCCAGCACATTTAGAGTAACAGATGATTAAACACAGCCTCATTTCAGGAATCAAGTTAATGAAGCAAGCACTGTGCAATGTAAAGGCTTGCTTTGTAAAGGTTTCTGCAGTCACGGTGACTTTCTTCCCACTATCCTGAATTAGCAGATGTATTTATTACCTGGCAGCTGTGGGTGGGGAGAAAACCCCCACACTGAAGTCAGCTTCCTTACAGAGGTGGATTAACATAAAACATGAAAAATAAATTATTACAAGCTCAGTGCAGGCAGCTAGCTGTAAAGTCTTTAGAAACAAAGGTAATTTCTGTACCTGGTCACTAATCACTTTTATGGCCTTCAAACACCCCTCTCACTGTGAACTGTGCAGTGGGCTCTCAGGTGCTCTCATCTTCTGCTAAGGGCTGCTGGGGTACCATTACCATCTTTCATACTCATTACCACATTCTGAGAAGAGGTATTCAAATTCACATTGTCTTTTACCAGCCAATAATAACTCTTACCTGAAGCAATGTAAGAGCAGGTTCTGAGCACAGGCTTTCACCCACTGTACCTGAAACAGCAAATCTTACACACTGACAGGACAATCACAGCATCAAGTCTAATTTATACCTTTTGGAAAAGAAAGAGGCCTCTGAGTACAGACAACTGCCTAAATTGCCAGGCTCAAAGGGGCACCAAGGCCAGCTGCAGACCTGGCCTTACTGGTGCACACCACAGGTCAATACCCAGGGCTAGGACAGTTTAACATTTTCATTCACAATGCTGGGTAATGGAGCAGAGCTCACCCTTGGCATGTTTGCAGGCAACACAAAACCAGAAGACAATACTGTGCTGCCATTCACAGGGACATGAACGGGCAGAAGACATGAGCCAACCCATGAATCTCAGGCACCAGCACACACAGGGACCAGAGAGCTGGAAAGCAGATTCACAGAAAAAGCCCTGGGGAAACAATGGGAATGCGAGCCAGCCACATGCACTCATGCAGCAACACATGCACCCTTGCGGCAAAGACATCCAACAGCTCTGAGATCACCAGCAGGTCACAGTAACACAGTGAAGACTGTTGGATGGAAGATCTAATAACTGAGACACATTGCAGATTATACCTGTGTTTCAAACCACTAATATATTATGTAAATATATATTCCTCTAATGTACATAATTATTCTTATACATTTATATACATATTAAAATAATGGACATATTAGAATAATATATATATTGGAATAATGTTATCTATAATTAATATATATTAAGACCACCAAAACTTCCAAGTTGCCCAAGCAGTGCTACATTGCTGACAGGACAGTCATCTACTCCTGCCATCAACCAGTTTAAAATTCATCTACTTGAACTCACCTTTCATGCGTCAGCCAGTGTTTCTCAGCAAGGTGACTCACCTGACAAGGCTCTACAAAATGGGTATTCAGCATTATTAAGTAATATGGTCTGTGACTTCTAGATGCATATAATGAAAATGGAACAAATACATCGCTATCTATTGTGTATTTCATCAACAAAGCCTGCAAAGAGGCAGCAATATTTTCTGCTGAACAAAGTATTTACACAGGCATACAACTGCAAAAAAAAGTTTATTTTATTGCCCACATTATTAAACACTAAACAAGACAACCTTGCAGTTTATACATTAGGAATGTAAGTTTTCAGGTATGAAGAGAACACTTCACTGTAAAAAGGTGAAATACTGCATTAGGAAAATACAGAACAGTGTCACACATGAAAGGAAGAACTTGAAAGAGTGTGGTACACTAAACTCAGGCTCTCAGGTGAAGACAGACACCTACAGACTGATGTAGCTATTCCACAGACTTTGGTGAATATTAGAAATGTACACACCTAGTCTTAGAATTGTACAAATACAAAAGGCAATATATTACACACCTATATACAGCACTGTAACCCTCAAACACTGACAAAAGATATCAGACAATAAGTTAGAAATTTCTAGAATCCTCATAGAAATCAGAAGAGACCTCCTTAGAGAAAAGTGTACCTAAAATAGTGCTATATTTCTGTACCTGTCAAATCTGTCAGGTATTCAAGGCAATTCAAGGACATTTCACTCCCTTTGGGAAAATCAATGAAGCTCTACAGCAAGTGGTTAGAGCCCATCCGCTTTTTGCACAAATGGTACAGATTCTCACAACAAAAATAATTATTCTCAGCTTCAATAGTTTTGAAAGCTCAAAGCCGTAATTGGAAACAGTGCCCTTTGATTTAAAACAGTAAGGTCAGTTGTAAATAAGTGTCAGCATTAAAACAACTTCTCTTATTATAATTTGAGAGGATTCAATCCTGCATACACATTCATCAGGGAAAGCGTTATGTCTGGAGTGTTCTCCACTGCCGGCTAGACAGATTACAATATGGGATGTCTTTATAGGTCTTCCTTACACTCTTAGGAGACCTATACTACATTAATACACATTTTTCATTCATCAGTCTGAAGTGATCCAGTAATGCTCAAAACCCAAGAGCCTGACAGTTTTAGAAATATCATGAAAGAACTAGTATATCTGGCTCCTGCCCTGCTTCCCCCCTACCTCCAATCCACAGATATTTTGAAAACAAATAATCCTGCCCTCCCTCTTCCCTATCCTGCTTTCCTGCCTTTTTTCTTTTTTTTTGCCTATTTTTAAGGAAGGAAAGAAAGAAACACAACTGAAAGTTTTACTGCTCACATCAGGAAAGAAATTATTCAGACTTGATCAGTATCAAACATGTAATGTCAGTTCACAAAAACATGCTCATTGCGTAAGTTGCTCCAAAGACCAATACATACGTACTTATATGAAGCCACACATGTAGAGAAACAGCAGCCTTTAGTACCGAAAACTTTTCATCATTTTCTCAAAAAAAAGTGTGAAGCTTTATATAATTTGAGTTGTACCAATATGAGCCTATTGGTCCCTGGGCTCAAGCCAGACCAGTTAGAATAATTAGCTGGAGAAAATAAAAGGATAAACTATAAACTAATTTTAACACTGTTTGACTGGTAGACAATGGTACTGTAAACATGATGGCATTTTAGACCCTTCAAAATTCTATTTATAGCTAAGGTGACTATATCTTCCCAGTATAATAAAGATCTTTTAAACCAATATCCAGCTTGAAAAGAGTGTGTACTGTGGAGATACCAACCAACCACAAACTAAATGAAACAAAAGAAAACCAGTAGAACTACTTCAAAATTCTAGCCCCTTGACACTCAGAACTAATACCATTACAGCAAACATCTATCAATTGCTATTTTCTGTGTCTATTCCAGTTTATGTTTCAGTTTTAATTACTGCAAAGTATTTTCTAAGTATTCTCCAATGCTACTCTGCAAGAGCAGACCAGGAGGCAGCTGTAAGTTCTGCATGTTATTTCCTCATACCATCTAGAACAATTTCAAGGAAAAGAAGAGCTCCACATTCAGTATGTGTAGTGCTAGCCAGGGTTTGCTATCAGCTGCCTAAACCCTCCTATTGCTTGTGGCTACGCATGCTCCAAGCAGCTACAGGCATTAGTCAATCTGAAACAAATGTGCTGTTGCAGAAAAACCTGTTAAAAAGGCAAAATTTTCTGCCAAACTATTTACAAAAACATACAACTCCAAACAACCAGTTTATTTCACTGGCTAAAGTATTAAACTCTAAACAGGACAAACCTGCAGTTTATACATTAGGAATGTAAGTTTTCATGTACAATTAAGAAAACACTCCTCTGTAAAAAGTTGAACTACTGCATTACTAGAATAGAACAGTCACACAACAAACTGAAGAATGAGAAAACGTGGCACATTCATTTAAAGTCAGGCTCCCAGGTGAAGATGAACACCTACAGACCACTCCAGCTATTCCATAGGCTGCAGTGAACATTAAGAAAGGTACACACCTATTCTGCAGTCTTAGAAGCAGAATTACACAACTTACTTGTCCCTACCAACTGTCTCCTCATCTCTTTTCATTAATCAACCAACTTCTTAATTGCTATAAACCTGAATAACATTAGCTGCTTAAAAGTTCCTTGTGCTTCAGTTTAAGTCAAAAAAGGGATATCTAAACCTATCTTCAGGCAAATGGGAGAGTCTACTAGAATTTTAGTTTGCTTTGTTACAAGGTTCCAGACCATAAGGGATCAATAGCTGCAGAAATCTAGATGGTTGGGAATGACTGTGCCTTAGATCTTTCTACTTCATTCATAATAAATTGTCTGTCAGCTAATCACTGCTATTGGAGTAGTTTTGTCAGCTACTGCTTCTCCAAATTTCTGCATAAGAAGTTTTAATACCCTTTTTTAATTAAAACCTTAACATTATAAAAGTTGGTATCAAACAACGTCATCAAACTAGCTGAAGGTTAAAGGTTTGGTAGCCAAGAACAGGCTGCTGTTTTAGAATTTCAAGCTAGAAAAATAATAGATATAAAAGACTAGGAATTACAGTGCTAGTTATATTTACATGATAATTTCCCTTTGTGCTTGCAAGTTACTGAAAGTACACATCCTTTGGTAGTATTCTCTTAGTCTCAAGTAAGAAGTCCATGTAAAACACATTCACACTCCTGATTTGCTTGAGTCAGTGCAAAGGGCTCACACCTTATTTCCTGCATAACATTGTTACATAAGCACATCTCTTCCCCATAAATAATAATACTGATGACAGTGACTTTTCAGTGAGTAGCTTTGTGCCTGATATTTAAGAATCTGAAAAAAAACCCCAGTCTGACACATGATTCCTAAGTCTAAAGAGTGACTACTATAGCAACTGGTAAGAACTCCCATCTGCAAGTATTGCTGCTGTATGACTTTTGGCCCAGTTTCAAAGACATACAGAAAAACCAAAATGCTTTCATAATTCAGACTTGTACAGGTGTGAATACGTATGAACACTGCAATGTGTACTAACTACCATTACAAAAACCACCAGAACATCAAACACTGAACTGATGCTTCTAGTTTTACATGTAAGCACAGCTTTCTCATGGCTAACACACAAGAATGTTTGTTCCAAAATGCCATGCCCATACTGCAAGACTCAGCTTAAACAAAACAAGTCTTTGCAGTTTTGCCTGTGCCAAGTGGTACTGAAAAAGCAGAATCTGGGAAAGAGGATTTATTTGTTCCCATGCATTTGTAAAAAGCCAAACATCTTGGTCAGTGGTTAAACAACCAGTTAATGCTTCTTAGACCGATGAAGAGGTAACTTCACATGAAGCCATAAACAACTGGGTATATAAATACAGTAAGTCAAAGAGGAACTTTGCAAGCTATTAGAATTTGATGCAAAATAATTACAACTGTTGTCTATTCACTGTTACTGTCAAATATGAGCAAAGGAAGAATTTATGGGCTTGGGGTTTAAGAAAGTAATATATAACATATTAAGGAGCTTAATGTATCAATGCACCAATACCAGCATAAACCATCAATATTTTAGTTTTCATACTTGCCAACTGAGTATCAATCTGTTGACAAAGTTATGCTAATACTAGGAGCTCTCTGCTGGTTAGGTTGTTTGCTTAAGATCGGAAAATCTGATCTTTCTGTTCCATATATCAGTTTTTCCTCCTGGAGACTGCAAGCTGAAAATCTGTTTGCCTCTGTACCAGATACACCACCACGATTGTTTGGAACTGTGACACCACTGACCTGTTCAAAGGATTTACTAAACACTGTAGTGGTTGTTCTGGCCAGACTGTGGCTGCCAGGCTTAGGCAGGGACTGGCTAGTTGTCAGTGTCAGTCTCTTAAGAGAGACAAGCTCTAGATTCTCACTCATAGCTCTCTGAGTTTGTTTTCGTGACAAGTGTTCTCTGCAGGTTTCTCCTTCCTTTTCTTTTCCTCCAGCTTTGCTTCCTCCAGACCTTCGCTGGCTCTTCCCTAATAGGTTCTTACTGCTCGTGTTGCTGCTGTTAGATAGGGCAGACTGACTTGTGCTAGAAGTAGCCCTAGAGTAAAACCCTTCATCACTTTCAGATACTTCGATCAGTTCTTCTTGTATCTCTAAATCAGTATTACCTGTATGGTAGAAAACAAAATAAAAGAATTAGCATTTGACTTTCTCACATTTACTGATTTTATGTATTGCTAGATTTTGATATTTACAAGCATGAAGCCATACAGCAACAGAAGAGAGAATAGAAGACAAACCACTTACCTATTCCATTTTATTTTGGAATTAAGGTTCATTAAGATAGAAAGTTGCAGCAAATAACACTGCATTAACTAGATCAAAAGCATGCCCAAAATCTCATTTTGTAGTGATTTGTAAAAGAAAACAAACAAGCAGTCTTGTTAATTCATGCAGATTAGAAACTTAAGAAACTTACAGATTAGAAGATACCACACAGAACAAAACGTGTAAATCTTATTCTCAGCAAGTGCTTCCATACATGATTTTGCAAAGCTCGTTAATTATAAAGGTATGTGATCAATGCTCCAGGGCACCCAGTATGGCACTGGCATGTTTAGCAACCTAAGAATGCTTTAGGACTGAAAGGTCACCTTTTGCATCACAGGTCTAGTGGTATGAGTTGGAAACTCAAGCACAACATGAGATCTCCAGTATACCATAAAAGGTGAATTTGGCAAATCTGAGGTACACAGCAGAAGACTTTTCATATCCATTTTGATGGATTCTTCAAACCATTGATCACTGGATTTTGTAAACCCAATAAATAGAGCTTAGTGAACTCAAAAGTATATTGAGTCTCAAAGTGTATTTTCTTGAGATTAAATAAATCTACTTGTAAGTACGTTGCCACAGTCTGTGGCACAGATGAAGCTGTATGCAATACATGCATTTGTGTTATTACACATGCAAATATATTAACTGCATACTTTAAGTCTCCAAACATGCAGCAGTGACCCTTTCAATCAACAGGGGTACCTTAGAGTGCAGCTACAAGTGCTCTGCTAAAACTGTACTCTGCCAGATGAGTTTATTCCATCCTCCATCATTTTTCTTACAGATTTCTGTCTCCTGATTTCTGGCATGCCTTTGCTGTCAGTTCTAGGATCTGTAGCTGTTTCCTGTACTCCCTGTAAATGCTGAACATCATTCTCTGCTAGTGCTCTGCTCTTTTCCCCATTCCCGGTCCTCTCTCCAGCCACACTTGTGACACTAATCTCAGGTATGATAAAGTTGCCCAATTCAGTAGCATCATTACCATTCTCTGGTTGTTCTAGAATTAAAGATGGATAAGAAAAAAAAAGAACAACAAACAAAAGATGGCTGAAACAAAACATGAAACAAAGGCCAATAGATACAGATGAATAAAGCATTATAAATTAAAGCAGATGTTCATATATTAACCTCTTGTTAATTAGCAGTATTCGCATGTATGGAATTTTGTTTTATTTCTAAATCACAGGCTTGATTCTTCCAATGATTGGCCTGCACCCCCATACTGGAAAGCCCCATGCTTGCTCTTTCAAAACTGAAATTTCTAAGGATCATCAAAACAAACATTTATCAGACTATCAGAAATCAAAGAATTCTCCATAATACACTTCTATGACTGTATTCTCTGTATCACCATGCTAAAGTGAAACTTACTTTTACAACGAAATGGCATAGCAGCTTCACATGTTACCATGCAAGACTAGACATTCTACACATACAATGTCATGATGCTGCATAGAGGTCAGCCTGAAAACTAAGAGTGAAACAACTAAGCCAATCCAAGCACACTGACTTCCATTTTCTTTCATCATATCAAAAGACTATTTTCAACCTGGAAGATTTACAAATGGAAAAATTCTCCAGTTACTAAAGTCAACCTATTCAGATAAAACCTATGGAGTTTTACCACAATTTTTGCCACCCACTAACAACATCACTGTAGATCTCCTCAGCCTTTTTAAGCATTTTATATGAGCTTACAACTAAATCAGTTTGCAATAAACTTATTTGTCACACAAGTCAGCTACTAAGTACAGTTGAAGAAACAGGGATTAAGCTGGGGGGAGGGAAAGCACCACAACTTTCTGCTGCACTGGGCGGGGAAGGGGAGAAGGGGAAATTAAAGTGAACACCATGGCAGCTCGTTTCTAAGATTACTTCTTTTCATCTGGGTAAGACATCACTAGCACATATACAAATGCTCAACCTGACCAAAAAATTATTTCAAGACAGTCAAAGATTCCTGCAGACAGCCAAAAACCCTCAAGCAAAAAGCAAACTCCACTGTTACTTAAAGTCTGAGAATGATGGTTGTGTGTCAGCACAAGAGATTTAATAACGATAGAATGCAACAGTTCCTACAGGGTCTTGGCAAAATAAGTCCCAGCTCAGAAGATGCCTGTCTCTACTACATGAAGACAGGTTTCAGACGAATGAACTCTCAAAAGGAAAAAAGTGAAAATAAAAATGGGAGTTGAAACTTTATGGAAATTCCAAGTATATGCAAGTAACAAGTTACAATCCTAGCAACCTGTCAGCTCCACAGTGTTTGAAGTAGTCTCAGTATCTGAAGGTCTTTCTAAACATATTCAGAATTGCTTTATCAGCAACTAGCTCTATAAATGGAAAATTGCATTTAGATGACCTGGAGAAGAAGAAAAAAAAAGAGAAGCCATCGGTTACAGATAGTCAGGGCACATCCTCCATGAAGATGTATACCACAGAAATACAAATGAGCAAGAACTACACTATTGCTACATATTCATATATTTTATATATCTCTATATATACACACTTATGCAAGCAATGTGGCCACAAACTTGACAAGACTAAAAATGCACTGAAAGCACAGCTCAGAATAAAGCTCAGCTGAGTTCCTGTGTTTTATTCATAACAAAGCTCTTTCAGACTGGAAGATTCAGTAAGGATGATCCAGACTATACTGCCAGTTTGCTACTGCATATGACAGAAGCTGGCAGTACAGACATTTAACTGACAGTATGAAGTACAAATTCAGGGGAATTTATGATGAAATAATTTTTCACAGCAGCAGCTCTAATCCTTTTTAGCTGGAGGAGATACTATCTTCCCCCTGTGCACACAGTGAGGACTCTTGCGCAGGCACAGTGTACTTCTAGGTCAAGCGGGCTGCGGCACTGGGCTTTCTGCTAGCATTTGCTCTGCCTGCATTTATCAGGACAATAAATCTCAGAGTTAGAAAGTTATTCTGGCAGGGATGGACACAACTGTCCCTTGGTGTGAGAGCTATCCCCAGTTTTACCTGCAAATGCTAAGCATCAAGATTCTAACTAGTCAACTACAAATGAAAGTATTTATTGTCGTACTATCCAAAGGAAATCGCACTGATAATTGCTACTGTTAGCCACTAACTTCCTCATATTTAGTAGGAAAATCAAGTTAGACCTGTTTCTGTGTTACTCCTTCTAATAGCACATTCTGCAAAAGTCTTCTATTGTCAGTTGCAAAGGTATAACCAAGCACCATGAACTGCAATAGTAATAAATAATATCAACAATAGCGGTAATAATAATAGTAATACCACCATCGTATACAGCCTTTCTTCTAAAAACACAAGAGCAGAAAGGTTAGCAAGGAGAGAAGATCAACACTCTGATTGGCCTCATTACTCTAATTTAACTACTGTGAGGTACCTGCACTTTCTCTATGGCAATCTTCAAACTCCTTCCTGCTACCCCATCACTGCAGCTACAGGCACCTTACTCCAGCAGAACATCTCTCCAGGATCCACTGATCTCCATACACTCATGTCGATTCTGACAGAAACTTCATTTAGAGCCAGGACACCAGAGAGAGGAGCGGGCAGAACAGAACTTGTTGTCAAGTCCCTTCCCCTCCGAGGGCAGAAAAGCAGTAATTAATCATCCAGCTCCAAAGAAAGGAGACTCAGACTGCACAGCAGAAATTAATGGAGCAGAGGAAGAATATTTTGTTACAGATTTTGCATAACAGCGATACTTACAGTCTGGTGGTGTACATTTCTAAATGTAATACATTGCTGTGATGTTAGCACTTTACCCATCATTGCTGCATTCCCACAACTGTGTAACCACTACCACAATAAACCGTGAACTGCGGGGGTTTAGGGTGAAAATGGATGGAGGATACACCAAGCCAAAAAAATGAAGAGTTTTACTCAGTACAATTATGTCCAATCTTTTAGTTAAATGCTATTAACTACTCCTAATGAACTACCTTTCTCTGGGTTTAGCACTGAACTAGAGGAGAAAATTAATGAAACAAATGGGATACTGAGTATCTTAACTACCATAGCACCTACAGTCTCATGGCAGGGATAAGACTACACAATCCATGCTTTCCAAAATAGCATTGCCTCTTCATTTGAAAACTTTTAAGAACACCTAGAACAAACCTTCAGCTTCGTAGTGCTTGGTTTTGAACAGAATATTGCTTCAAGCTGGACAATTCTGGGGGCATATATTTTGTGAAAGAGATATTAAAACCCAGTGCACAAGGCAATGTAGCAAAAGAGAAAACAAAGGACACTGCTAAATAGTGGAGAGATGAAACTCAATAAATTACATCAATTTGAAAGTTAATATAAATATGTCTATAGCAATTGAAGGAAAATTGCATTTGGAGTCACATTCTGAATGCTATGAGTAGTACAACCAACCTTGATAAATGCATTTCATGATTACCAGTTGCTAAGAATTCACTGAAAGGATATTTCAATTATAGCCTACCTTATTATTACGGTTGCCTAGATCATTTACCTCAGATTGCACAGGCAAACTGCCCATCTGGATTGTAATTCAATTTTAAGCACCACAAGCTCAAGCTGCATTTCCTGCACAACAACGTTAGCATTTTGAATTATTCACAGGAGCATCAAGTTTATATTCCAAAATTAACATTCACTCCAGGTTCCTCAAACTTATAACTATTTCAGAAATTCATAATGTTTCCAAAAAAAATGATTCAAAGACTAATGTTTCTAAATGTTGTGTACTATACGAAAATCGATTTCTGTATTGGGGAAAAAAGATAACATCTTCTCTCTATTCTCTAGTTGATGCCTTGGGTTTTATGTTATGTATCATACCAATATCTGTTTAGCTCTTCTTACACAGTCTGTTACATCAGATTATTTCTCTTACATGCATTACACCTCTACACAGGAGTTCTTCCCAAACAACACTTGTATAGGGCAGTATGGCAGATTTTATATCAGCAGGCAAAGCACTACTAGGGCTTGCTTTGTTTTTTTCCTAGCTTCCATAAATAACCATTAATTTAGGTGTTCATGTCCCTCACCCACCATATGATTTTTCTGGTTTTCCTCTATTTGCGAATGGAAATGGAGATGCCACTCAAGGCTTGTTTTTAAAACATTTTAAGCTTTACTATTTATAGGTAATCCAACTCAACAGCACTCAATAATTCGTTGGTAAGTGGTGGCTAGTATTCCCTGACTCTATAAATACTATCCATTTGTGATTAGATGGATCCATTTTGCAAATGACCTTCACTTTTAGTATCTCTAAAGTACCTACCTTAGAAGGCCAAATGCATAATATTAACTTGATCTTTAAAGAAGTCTTAAGTAACATCTCTAACTAATGAGTTACAGGGTTGAGAACTGCAACAAAATTAAATGTTAAACCAATCTTTTTTTCAAAACTGACTTCAGCCTTGAGTTCTAGCACAGGCTTGCAAGATCTGATGTCTGAAAACTTACAGTAAACGAGGGGTTTTTACATATAAAAGAATAAAGTCTCTGCTTCTCAGCTTTGAATGTACAGAAGCTATATACTAATATAGAGAAGCTATATATATTACATTATAGCTTCTCAGAAATGTAATTAGCTACAATTCTGTTATTTTACACAAATAGCTAGCGATTAAAAATTGTTGCCCTTGCTTCCCCAAGGGGTGCGTTGCTTCATCCGTCCTTCTGGTCCGCATAACGTATAAGATCAAACTGCCTCTCAGTTGTCTCTTCCAGCTTCCTCATTCATTTATGTAACTCATTGTTATTATACTCAAGCACAAAAATAAAACCCCCAATTACATTTTTTCCCCTTACACCATGGGAGAATAATGGCTAGGAGGTACAGGGTTTGTCACCTGATTTCTACCAATTCCAGTGTTTAGTTTAATTCATACAAGCACCTGTAAGCATAAGCCTCATTATTTTTTTCTGCATGCTGACCTCAAAGATCTATTCTGTATCTTTCTTTAATCAGGAATTGTGGAGCACTGGATTATATTATTAGGAATTTTGAAATCAGGAGACCATCTATTCTGACTTTAAAAAGGCTTTTCAAGTTAAACTGAACAATTTTGTTAGTATTTTATAACGAAAATGTTTAGAAGATTAGCTGAAGTAGTATATGCATAGATCATTTACTATTTAAAAACAAAACAGTTGGAAAAACAGTTAGTAAAACATACCATAGACTCAGTTTCAGACTAATCTTTCAACAGCCTTCAAATTTACAACTTCTCCCACAATCTACCATACGAGTTCCCCTCCACACCCACCCTACAATGAGTGATTTTCTTCCTCTTCATTAAACCCTGTACCACTGAGGCAAATCGAAAGTTTTCACAATAATCCAAACAAAATATTGAAAAGAGGTTTTTTGTTAAAGTCCTTGATCTTTCAATCCTCATCCCTAAACACTGACTGCTCCTTGCTTGGGTCATACTGACTAGGTATCACCGTTTCTCTCATCTTGTCCTGCTTTATGAGACTCCCATAAAACACAACATTCTGCCCCATTTGTACGAGTTGTTATCCTCGTTTCCCTTTCACCTTACTGTTATCTGCTGCAGGGCACACTTGTCCCACCCATTTTCCCTTGAACATCACCCCTGCAAGAAATCAGGAAGCTATTACAATTACTGCTTTCTGTATCTGCTGAAAAAGATGCATTCTTATAAGGATGGCTCCAATGCTGATTCTGTAATATTTACTTTTTTTCTGTAAATGCAAAGACAAAGGGAATGTTTATTTTCATACACTTTCAATTCCTCTAAACAAACTGGCACTCAGTATCCCTAATCTGTGTTCCCTGCCACCACCTCATCTGATCAAGCATCAGAATCACTAAAAACTAACAGCTGACAGAACTGCCACGCTTCGGAGGGATTTGTCCATTTAAAAGCTGAGCTATCATACAGTTTTCTTGCACGCAGTCAGTAATCCCTGCTTAACAACTGTAATCATGAAGAAAGGAAAATAAAGGATAAGGACTAAAACGGTCCTTAGCAGTCTTGAGATTTCAGTAATGACTTGTTCCTGGACCTCACTCAAGTTAGACACCAGTGTTTTGCTTCTCAGGTCTGTCTAACAGTTTTAAGCAGTTTTTAATCAATCAAAAAGAAGTTTGGTTGGTTTAACCTTTGTTTGCCCCTCACTCCCTCTGGTAGCTTACTATTGGTACTATTATCACCAATGTGTACCATTACTGCTCAGGAAGCTCCATCATTATTTTAAAAGCATCTTCGATCAGTGTATTTATGAAGTTTTCTCAACATTTACCTGAATTAACTCTCAGTCCCTCATGTTATGTGACTTGGCAATATTTTTCTAACCAAACTGTCCATATACTACAAATGCTCCTACAGTACACATCATACAGAAATTTTTATGATACTACTTCACAATCTTTATTGAACCTTTTAAAGAGCATTCTTATCAACACTCACTCACTTAGCCTGTCACCAGAATTACAAGGCCAGCAGAACAAGCCACTGTCAGTTGCGATCACTGGTCCAGTGGCGCTTTCCTCATCTGAAGTTGGTAGAAGAAATAAATATAACAGTGCTCCTTTTGCAGTTCATTTAGCACCATTTTTCTACCTCTGAGCCCAGCCTACTGGGCCCAGTTCTACTTTGTGGAAACCCTTACACTAGTTTGCTTGAATGTGCTGGTTTTGGCTGCGACAGAGTTAATTTTCCTCACAGTAGCTGGTATGGGGCTATATTTTGAATTGTGCAGAACACAGTGTTGATAATACATGGAGGTTTTTAATTCAGAGTCCAGGCGTTTTCTGCTCCTCACACCTCTACACCAGCAAGTAGGCTGGAGGTGCACGAGAAGTTGGGAGGGGACACAGCCAGGACAGCTGACACAACACCAAAACCTAATTTTTCATGTTCTCTACCCTTAAAATATTTAAATAAAAATTGGATTTAAGAGAGATGAGGCTCTGCATAGAGCTGTTAAATATCTGCTTTGCTTCAGGTACTATAAACTACTTTTCAGAAGACAGGAATATCAGTCTCTGTAAAGAATCTATAACTTTGTACAGCTCCCCTCCCCTTTCAGAAAAGGCGGTTTTGTGGATTTTGCTTGTATGTTTATTTATTTTGTTGTTTGTTTTGTTTTGCTGGGATTTTTTTAATCAACTCCCCTCCCCCGTGATTAGGGAAATAAAGAAAACACTTCATTTGAACTGCATTAAGGCTCCCATTCACCAGTCAAGAAAATAAAAACCTCCAAACTGCTGCTTGCTTAGTAGCAATGAAGATGAACAATAACAAAATTCTCAGTATTATATTAAACATATGTAAAAAGTTGAGAATTCATTGTAAAGTGTGTTTCTTACCATGCCTTTTCCATCTATGCCCTCGGATAGACATGCTAGTCACAGCATTTCTTGATATTCTGGATGAAGTAGGTGTAATTTCAACCTGAATGCATCTTGTACCTTCTTTACTAGATTTCATGGCACCTTGAGGCAGTGAAGCTTTTATTGCATTAGCAACCTAGAACAGAAAAAATGCAGTTAAGTTCTTAACACAAAGATGCAAATTCTAGAAGAATTCTGTCAGGGGATTCTTATTACTCGAAGACAGATACCATGTACAATTCCAGTTTAAAGTCAAAAAGCACACCAGCTTTTTACACAGTTTATAAAGAATGCTGGTTGCAATTAACTCTCAGTACTAACATTTGCACTCTGTTTTAAAAGTATTTCCAGTTCAGAGATGTGGCTATTACTTGAGAATGCTTCTCTACTATCATCTACACTCTCAAAACTTAGAAGCATTCTACTGAAAATAGCTTGTCACTAAGGAAGGTGACAAAATAACTAAATGCATTGAAAATACCTGTGCCTCTGTGTGCATACTGACAGATCTAGCCATCCACACAAGCACAGCCACATACACCTTGTGAGATTTAGGTTCCTGGTGTGATGTTGCAACATGTGTGTTCACAGGAAGGATTTCCTAGACTAAAAATTCTACTCACAAAAATGTTGAAATATACCTACCAGCAAAGGTTCTGGATACAGTTCCAGCTGTGCTCTGTATAAAATGTCATCCATAGCTTTACGAGCCAGATCCCATTCTCCATTATAACTACAAAGGTAAGTATATATATAATAATAAGCATCTGTATCAACAGAAGAACCTTCTTGGCAACATAACCTTCACAGACTTAGCATCCCTTCAGAGCTCAGTTTAGAGGGCTTGAACTACTTGTGCTCACTAGCAGTAAGCTTGCTATTTAATGAACTTTTTCTGAAGTAGCATCTATGGAGACAGTTTTATTTACAATTGGTCATCCTGAGCAGTTCAGAAATTATGTCATTTGTTACTGATCAGCTTGTCATGAAATACTCTGAAATTCAAGCAGAACTGCTTTAGTATTACTCCACCTTTTGAGTATTCCTGTGTTTCTAATCTTTAATTATTTCAGTTAACAGGAGAGCTTCAAACATTAACTTGACTATCAAAGGGTAGACGACATCAGCATTTCAGAGAAAAAAAAAAGACCTTTTGTCCTTAACTAGACTGATGTCAAAACTAAACATGCAAAAATGCAGACAGCACACAATGGATGGAAAAGGGTTGGGGTTTCTTTAAAGTTGTTTTTTTTTTTTACATCAGCAATTATACCCTTTAAGTGCTGTTCTAGCCCTCTTTCCCCCGTATGACGTAAGTAACTTCAGACAACTAGCTGGAGAACTAGGTTCTCTTCCTAAGGAGGTTATAGCTAGACACAGCATCATCCACTAGAAAATAAAACATTTCAGGGGTAACACGCCTAAACAAGTGTAGAAATTAAGCTGACGTTTCTGTATTTTGTAGGCATACAGAAAAACCCAAACAACTTACAAGGCATAATAAATTCCTGTTAGCATCTGCACCATGAATTCAGATGAAACTGGAATCCTACAGTTGACTCCCTTGTACTTCCTTACTTGCTGGCGAGGATATCCACAGACACAAATTCTAGAAAAATCATGCATTTTTCATTAGCTAATCATGCATTTTTCATTAGGAACTAATGTGGAACCAACCGCCCTTGTATAGAACACTACAAAACTAGGCGTTTAGTATGCATTTTAACTACAATAGACCCACATGAAGGTATCCACCAAAAACCCTGTGCTGAAGCAGCCTATTTCTTATAATGGAAGAAGGGTATGCCCTCTGCTGGCAGAGTTCAAATCCTTCAAAAGAGAGACAGCCTAGACATGCCTGTTACATTTGTACTACAGGGGACCACGAAAAAAAACTGCCAGTAAAAGCTATTCTGGATCCACACATTTGCTGCAGAACAGACAAAAACTAAGTTAATGATACTTAAGGAAATAGGGTAGTATAGCAACTATAAATATTACAGACAGAAACATACGTGACATTGCATATAAAATGGAAGTTGCATGCAAGTTGTCAAGCAAAGAAACCACAAGTGCTCTGGTCAAATAATTACTAAAATTATCCTAAATTCCAGTAAAATCAGCTTTAGAGTTTAGTTATGAACTAAATCCCACGTCAGGTCCTGTAGACAACACATTTTGTAAAACAAAGATATTGGGTAGTTCAATATTCAATTCGTCAGCTACTACATGATTTGTAGAATGACCTTTAATGACATTAAACAAACTACTTCTCCAAAGCAGACTAGAAGGTTTAGTCTAAGACAGCTTTAATTCTTCAGCTTCATTATCAGAGAGCTTTTAAACTCTTCTTAGATCTATGTTTTTTCCAGAAAAATAAATGAAAAAAAATATATTGTATCATAGTACCTTTCAAATTACATCTGTAATGGGTAGGGCATTTCAGGAGTCTTTTATTAACACTAACTTCATCACTAACCTACTGCACTTTTTCCTCTCCTATCCCACAACACATCATTACGAAGTCTCTGGCTACATAAAACAACGACAACAACAAAAAAAACAACAAAAAGAAGACTGTGCCCCCAGGATTCAGTTCAGCAGCAGTACCAGTCTGCATGTTGTACCTAGCATGATCAAAATCTGACTCTTCATGCTGATATCACCATATCTCCAAATTAAAGAGAGTTTAAACGCTTCATCAGGAAAGACAGGAAGCCACACTAGTGACAACATGCAAGGAAATGAAAACAGTCCAAGACGTGGATGTTTATAAAGGAAGAATCATAGAATGGTTTGGGTCAGAAGGGAGACTTTCAAAGTTCATTGATTTCCAACCCCGCTAGCATCAGTAGGGACATCTTCCACTAGGTCGGGTTGTTCAAACCCCCATCCACCCTGCCTGGCCTTGAATATTTCCAAAAAAAAAAAAAGAGTCAACTTTACAAGCAGCTTTTGGGAACCTGAAGCTTTCTTAAAAAAAAAAAAAAAAAAAAAATCAAACTCATTGTATTGCACTTTGAAAATGCTGGTTTAAGTGTAATCAACCTACAAAAATTACCTTGAACAAATCTGACACAGTGACTGAAGAGAAACTGCAGGCATGTAGCTCAAGGCAGCATTGTAACAGAGCAGAAGGAAAGTCAGCACTTCAAACCTGGAATTTAAAGAAACATTAAAATTACATCACCAAGCTTATTTTTTAAAAGAAAGCAAGTTTACACAGAAATTTGCAAGAGCTACTTGAACAGATTTGGTATCTCATTTCAATAAAATTGACAATGGAATAGTTTGGTTCTGTCAACTCTTCTTTATGTAGTAATATGCACTGCTAATCTTTCTGCATCTACATTTACCTGTCTTTAAAAACAAAAAACCGACACAAGACACAGCATTCACCTACCCATCTTCAATCTTTAACTATATTAAAAATTACAAGATTCATAAGTAATTCTCAAGCAAAATCCTATTATATACAGTTTCACCTGTTCTGCGCTGTTAACATCTCCCTCTGAGGATGAGGTCCACTGTATACAACCCTGGACAAACCATGCTGTGATAAAGCTCCTTCAGTGAGAGCCATGGAGCCAATGCTGGAAGGCTAAAGGAAAAAAGGGTCATTCAAAACATGTCTGCCTGATGTCTTGCTACAATGCAAATGAAAATAGACAACAATCAGTAGCATCATATTTATACATGAATTTTCAACCGGCTTAAAGTTATCTGACTGCTTAGCTGTCTTAGATTTGAGAAGTGATTCTACACCAGATAAAGTATATAGCTTCAGAATACAAAAAGAAAGACACAGCTGGTGCAAGGATGTTATGGAGTTATGACTATTAAGTTTTGAAGAGGCCTCAGAGACCAGTTAGTAGTTCTCAGAAGATTGAGAAATATGCTCCTATGTCATCATGCAACACATTAAAACTACTTTTTACTTTTAACAAATAGGCCCCCAAAGCATGCTGCCTTTTTCGATCAGTAACAGCTGTATGTTGTAAATATCACTTACTTCATGATAGACTGAAGGTTTGGACAAAGATGGAATTGTGAAACTCAGCACTTTGCTATGTCCCTCTTTGTCAACTATCTCCTGAAAAAGACAGAAGATACCAATGGTTACACCGTACTACAGAAACCAGACATTCAAAATGTTAAATGCTGGGTAGGGGTAAATGGAAAAAGAAAGCAAACAAATTATTATAGGGACAGATACAGATACTATAACAATCTAAACTACAGGATGAAAACTATCTCTGGATTTGCTTTGTATCACAACGCATTGGCTTTGTTTCTGAAAACTATATAAATGATTTAGCAAAGGGCACACACACTTTCATACACAGTCCACCCTAAAAGCACTAACTGGAAATCTCAATATGTTTAAAAGTGTTAACTTTTTTTTTATGCACTGTTTGCTAATTGTGAAGTTTAATGCTCAATAATTCTGTTCTGAAAACTATTTACCCATGAAGTAATAACTCTACAAGTAATTTGTTCTGAAAATACAGTTCTGGAATGACTGCAGCGGCATATTGTTTGACAGCAGCAGACAGAGTATTTGAAAAAGCCCAAGTTTAACAATTCCTTATTTACAGAGTTAAAACAAGCATGGGTTCACAGCTTAAGAGAAGCTACTGTCCTGCAAGTTACCACCACAGCAGTATGTTGGCAGACTTCTACTCCTGTTAAATTAGCAAAAGATTAATGGGTAAGGGAAAAGAATAAAAAAGATGTATCACAGAAGAGCACTGAAATACTTCAAATAAACTTCAGAAGTTGCAAAGCAAACCTGAACAATATCCAACACCACACACACAAGAGCTCTTCCCCCTCCCCCCCCCGGCTTAATTTCAGCACCAGATCCGAAGGTAGAGATCACAGAGAGAAGCTTTAGCGCCTCCTAACACCCCTGCCTTTGGAAGGCTGAAGACAAACTTCACATAGTAATTACGAAAACTCATGCCTTCAAGTAGGATATTAAGTGGTAAAGGAAGACTGAGAAGTATCAAAAAGGCATACAAAGCTGCTCTGTCTGAAGAGTTATATAGGTCCTCCACTCCACAAAAACCACCAATAGTTTTGACTTCATTACTGCTTCTGCATCAACAACGAAAACTGTTTCCTCAATTTATGGGAGGAGAAGGCATGAGAAACTGGCTACATCCAAACTTCTAAAACCTTAAAATATCAATATTTTGACTCTTCATTCTAATCAGATTTGTAATCCTACAGTCAGAAACATCAACTGCACGCACTATCACTGTATGTCTCCAATCTGCAGGCAGAACAAACCAGTTCATGATCTCAAAGTTCAACCACAATAATTCCATACCCCTGACAATGTAGCAAATTTAGAATTATTCTGAGCAATACTTGATTTTTCAATTTCTTTCAGTAAGAAACTCCAGGACTGTTGAGCATGTTAATTCCTCCACATTCCAAGAGACTATACATTTACAGAACTACTATTTGCATTAGGCTAGGTCTTTCCTCTTGCCTTTAAAAACAAAGTAGCTGTTTAAAGAGTACAGAAATATCTAAACAGGTATCTAAACTCACTACCTTTTCAACCTTGTATACTGAAGAACAGTTACATCATGACTGTTAAAAGTTACAAATCTTACACAACATCAACAGAGGGGAAGAAGTCAGCATCAGTAACAAAGCATTCCTTCAGCATAAGCATTAATTTTTTTTTAAAGCAGAAGGTGGGGGGAGTGTTTCCAAAGATCAGGTCTATCTGCAGCTTTCTACAGAAACTTGCTGTAAAATTCTTAAAATTCCAAGCAGCTGGAGATGGATGGCTATGCTACTAATGGAGGAAGAAACTGTTCATAGCTAAGAGAAGACGTTCTGGACCAATTTCAAAATAAACTGTAAATGTAATCTCTCCTAGGAGAAAGACAAGTGATTGCAGCCACATCCATCAACCGTTTTAGATTACTTCATCATGGAAATAAAGGAGTGATTTGACTTAAGGCATAAGATATACCAAATGCTTTCCAGGAATATTTTTCTTCTCAGATACAGCCAGGCACACAGAAGAGACATGAAGTCTGCACTGTGAGTTGAATTTAAGAGCTCAGTTCTTTTTAAGTAGATTCCTGGGTAAAAAAAAAGGTGTTTTCACTCGCTTGGTAAAGACACTTGAGATTATTTTTAGAAGAATGGAAGGTGCCCTCTCCAGGTTTTCAGAATGAGAAGACCTGAAATTCATCACTGTTTCACTTCCCAAAAAGCCTTCCTACAACATCCAGAACATACAAACTACACAGAAGAGAATCCCAGTGGACATAACACTAAGCTTTCTATAATAGCCATAAAAAGACAAAATGCATAATTAAAATATGGTGCTCTTCAAGGTCCCTTCAAAGCAGTAATTTAGTAACAAACAGTATCTTTTAATATAAAACATGAAAAAAAGTACCGAGGTTATTCCAAAAATTAACGATGACATTTAATTTCTCAAAGCTAAGCAATCTGTTCAGCAGTCAAGTGCTCAGAATTTGTGATTTTTGTGTGTGTTTTCTAGTCAAGAGAGTCAAATTACCCCAGAAAATATGGGCAACCACTTCAAAAGTAAGACCTATAAAGGCTTTCAAGCAGAATGTAAGTTTAATCACCATACCACGAACTAAGTAATAAGGAAATTAAGAAGACTCCTTTGCCTCTTTCAGCCATTAGCACATTAACACTTTCCAGGAACCACAAAAAGAGCAGAGAAAATATTTACTGAAGTAAAAGAATGAAAGTTCATGTTGCATATTTGTGACATGGATGCCAATTTGAAAAGTCAAAACTAAGATGCTCAACACTTTAATTCTGAAATGAAATTGTTAATTATTCACCAGTAAAATACAGTACACCTGAAAGCACACTAATATTTTTAGGCCTTAATAATTACATGCAAATACAAACCAAGTTATAAACTCCTAGGAGAAGAGCCTCTATGCATCCACTGCTCTGCAAATCCCTGCTGGCTGAGACAGCAAGATAACACCACATCAATTCTGGCAGAAACTGCAGCGTGAATCGTAGCAATTGTTCTTCACCACTGCGATAGAACTCAAAGAGCTGATGGCAAACTGGCTCCAGAAGCTGAAATACAAATGACAATTGTGAATTAATAAAATATTACAAGAAACAGCAACTCTGTCTGGATCAATTCTTTGGACAAAACTATAAACTCATGAATGTTACATTTTAGCTATTAGGGAGTGACTGATGCAATAACTCCTCAAGTCACCTTACACACTTGCATCTTTTATAACATACTTTCAGATGGTAAAAGTAGGGCCTTCCATCCTGCATGAAGAATGAATTCCAACTGCTCCTTCTTTCATTTTTGGCTCACTTCCTCCAGCCTCAAAGGCATAAATAGAGGATACTGCTTATCACCACACCCCATACCATGTCCTCACTATCTCTGATATACAGGAAAAGTACCTGAACAGTTCTTGCTATTCTAGAGCTCCAACAGCATGCACAAATTGCCAGAAGCTTTTAACCACCAAATGAGAAGAGCTGCGTAACTCTCAAAGTATTACAATAACTTAGTACAGAGTAGAATTAGTTCATTTCTCCACTCACATTAAAATCATCCGGAAACTTAAATGTATTTATAGGTTTGAGACAGAAATGGGAAGCCCCAGGAGTAATTTTATAACCAAATTTGTTAAGCTGTTATAAATGGAAATACTATATTGAATTGAAAATAAAACACTGAGATAGAACAAGTTAAAAAATAAAACAGACTAAAAAAAACAGTTAAGCAATCAGCTTGCACTGTGCTTCTGGATTTAATGTACATCCTTGTGCTAACACCTATCTCCACTAAATGCCAAAACACAGTGTTAACCATCTTGTGTCAATGCACAGAAGCTATATATTTATGTTGGCACCTAGCTAAAAGATTTCCTAACCCAAGTGGAAAATAACATCAAAACCAGTAGGCCCTAACAAAGCCATCTGAACTGGAGGCTGAACTCTAAAGCAAAAATTCAAAAGCACACACTCAGAAATACTTTTTGGCAGCAAACCCAGCAAACCGTAAGTATGGACCTGTAAAAGGATTTCTTAAAAAAGAAAAAAATTAAAAAAAACCAAACAAACAAAAAAACCCAACAGACAATGTTTGGGTAGAAAAGGGGGATTTTAATTAAATCTTCTAAAATAATTTGGGAAAATAACTGGAAAGAAATAATAAACAGAAGGACCCTATCATGTAATAAACTATTCCCTGAAAAACGATCTAGGCAGCTGATACATTTACATTAGCAAACTTCACAAAATGAACTCTGAGATTCCTGCTGTTCAGAATTAATTTTATCAGCTCCAGTTAATGCACTTTAAAAAAAACCAAAATTATCTAAAATATGATATTCTCCCATTGCTAATCTCTGAAAGACAAGATTCAAATGTAACATGCCTAAAGGACTAGTTATTTTACCTTGCTTCTAAACTCCAAGACTTAAGATCTTTACAGTTCATCAACATGACCCACAGAAATAGACTCTAAATTAATTTCAAGATCAGGAGTGTTCAGGCTAGTAACAGATCTCCACTGAAATGTATTCCTGCACAAAATCCCCAAAAGTTTTAACCTGAAAAGAATGGAATCCAAACTAGACATGCATTTTAGTTTAGAGATTGCACTGAGAAAAGATACCATAATCATTAGAATTGCCACTGCATGTCAGTTCAGAAGGCAAAGTATTACCCAACACCTTTCTGAAAATCCTTAAAAACTTCAATATATGCATGTACTTTAGTGCTAGTAACATGCAGATCACATTTTCCATTTTATTATGCCTAGGTCACAACTTCAGTTGTTCAATGGAACAAGCTTTCAAAAAGCTAAGAAGCCGCCCCCCCCTTTATTGCAGCAAAGGGGACACCACTACCAGAAGAGCAAGCTGGAAAAAAGTTTGCTTGCTTTCCTAAGTGTTTCCTGCTCAATACAAAGAAAGCTGAGACAACATTTCTTACCTCCCAAAGTTACTTCAGAACCCAAAGAATCTTAGCAGGTTTTGGTTCTTTTAAAAGTAATTTGGGTCAATTTGATCCCTTCAAAAAATGAGGAACTTTTAGCTTCTGACAGATACAGCTCCTCTTTGGAAAAAATCATCTGGGAAAAATTTACAGCAAAGGCAAAACATCATGCCAAGCTAAACTACTCATCAGCTTAAAGAGCAGAGCATCAACGATCCTTCTAGAAAACCTCACCAGCACAAGCGCTTTCCACCTTCAGCTTGCATATTTCACACAATTTGCATGCTTCCTTTAAGGAAGTATCAGTTCAGAATGATGCGCTTGAACTTTAAAAGGCACATCAATAACTATGACAGGTACCCATGTCCACATTGTTATCTCAGTTGAGACAGCTTTATATCAGCACATTTAAATGCATAATCAGTAAGAAAACAGATTTTCTTCCTCAGAATGCCACCACATGCTGCAAGCTAATATCAAAACGAGCTAATGATTGTTGCTGTTTCCGGATAATGTTTTACATTAAAACAGTTCTAAAAGATATCTAGACTGAAACAATTTTTAATGCTGGAACAGAAGAATGTCCAAGCAATCTCATCCCTACTTCATTTAAGCTGCATACAAATGTGTTAGACACTCCAAACACTTTATCTCCTAATGCAAATGCCTACACAAGAACAGCAACAGTGTTTTAAGTAGAAAGCCAGAAAATCTTGAATTTCTGAAGAAAAAAACCTCAGAATTATAATTTTTTTTTGTTGGATTCTTGAGTCAAAAGTCCTTTAAATCTTCACGTCTACTCAATACTCGTCTTGTATTGAATTACATTTTTCACTTATCAATGGCCCAGGAACCTCAAAAGTAATTAACAAAATCTTTACAATCAAAGCTACTATGAATTGGGTATTTTTTATTTTTCTATAGCAAACAAGTAGCTCATTTCTGTCACAAACTGATTTTTAATTATTTTTGAAACGCAAACAAAAAATCCCTTATGTAAAGAAAACACGAGCCAGCAGGAAAATACAGTCACAGATGCAAATACATATGATATTTTTTAAGCATTTGAAAAGTAAAGAACACATCCACCCCCAAGTGAGATTAATCACAATTTTAAGGTACCATTAGCTGTTATATTAGAAGTACATTTATCCAAAGGTAAATAGAAGGTTGTTTGTCTGGTTTTAATCTCACCAGTTTTTCTAGTGTTCATGCATTAACCCATCCCTTTTGCAGTACACACACAAGGTAAGAAAGGACAGCACATATCCTACACCGTAAAGCAAGTTACCATTACACAGTGCAGCTAAGAGATGTCCGATAACAGTTGAAAGAAATTACTTGTCTTTTTAATTGCTAGCTTGTAAGTATTTTCACAACATAGAAAGCTCCAAGTAGCCCTTTCCACAAAGTGGCAGGTACTCAGAGAACAGCCCAAAGTAAAGATTTTTAGGACTTCTCCCAAGGCAGCACAACACTCAGTCAGCACTGGCTTTTCATTTCAATTCAAAGTCTCACTAACAGGGAAATCTTTGATACCTTGCCCCCAGAATTATCCCAGCAACCTTTTCAAGCAGAATTTGCGTCCTTGACCATCCTGTTACTAAGGTCTTAGAGAAACCGAGTGGTAGTCAGAAGTAGTAAAAAAAAAAAAAAAAAAAATCAAAGAACATACGAAAGGATTAATTTGGCTACCATCAAGGAGACTCATCAGATTAATTTACATGTTACACACATTCTGAAGACCAGACAGGCTTGACTCAGTAGCTGGAATGACTCAGAATGCCTTTCTGAGCAGCAAAGTAAAATCACATTTCTTCTTTGCTAGACAATCTGGGAGTTTATCTACCAGCATTCTCTCTAAAAAGTATATACTGAAAGCATTTTACCCTCTGACCACTACCGGCATAATCTCAAACTTTGGAAAGGTTCCTTATGCTGGGTCTTTTCAGAAAAAGAATTAAGGGCTTGGTCAATTTTAAAATAGGCTTGCTGAACAGAAGAAAGTGAGACAATGCAGTTAACAAGACACAACCAAAACCAGTTCAGTATGTTCTGAACACTTTAAACCAAGTGCATTCATAGGTGTGGAACTATTCCTGGCACAGGTAAATGAACTGTCCCCTTCTCTCCAGTGTTAGGGTTTTTTTTTTGCCATCATCTCAGCAAGGGTACATCCACTGTATAAATGTGTATATTTATATTTTATGTTTGTAAAACAACAACAAAAGCCGTACAACCAAAGCAACAGCTTAAAAGGATTGCAAACCTACCTAACAGTGTTCTCTTGGGTTGTAATAGACGAGCTTCTGATATGTACAGATTCACATTCAACTGACACTGAATTACAAAAAGAATTCAGTCAGTCTCAAACATCTTTTCAATCCCTTAACATATTTATCAATTCTATAGCCAAGTTCTGAAGCCCGTGAGTATGATCTACAGGCTTAGCTATAATCAGTGGGTTACAAAACCTATGAATAATTTCCATGGTAATATGTCACTGCTAAGAACAAACATTTTGATGGAGATGCTTCATGTAGTTCTGTAGTTTGCATAGTTAGAACACAATTAACTAGTATGCAAGGTCTTCTTTTATTCTGCTGATGTTATGTCAGACATGTTGTGTGAGAGATCAGATATACTCACTTCACTCTGTGGCTCCTGAATTACTTTGTAAAGAGATGAAATCAAGGCAGTCTTATCTTTCAAGTTTGTAGCATAGCTGGATATGGATGCTTCTGGCAGTGTCTGAAATAAAAATATTAACACTAGTAGAAAAAGCAATTTTTACCATAAAAAGATAACAGCTATTTCAACAACTATTTCCTATTACAGATTACTGTTTACCAGTTTACTGTAAACTAAAACTTATTTCACAAGAAATCCTTATTATGGAAAGCACCATGCTTTCAGGACAACAAAACTGCCAGAAGACACACTGCATTTATCACTTTGCAGACACTTTCATACAGAATGTAATGACAGTGGGTGGGTAACATAAAAAAACAAGAGTTTCCAGGGGCAGCCCTGTACTTGAAGCTTAGCACTTTGCAGAGCCATACTTCAAGGGATTTTCTCTGTACACAGCTACTGAAAATTACAGGATACAGTAAAAATATATAGACAGGATATAGCCTCTGAAAGAGCACAAACTCCAGTTGATGTGAACAGCTCTTCTCTGACACTAAACGGATTTTCTGTTCGCACTTAAGAGGGTAAAAATCTAATCTTTTTAGCAACCCTTTGAAAGCTGAACATTTTAACTTACTATTCATAGCTCTTACAGTGCTTCTTATCTGCACTCCTTCAAAGGAGATAAAACTCCACTATAGATAGGAAAACACATTCCCAGTTTATCTAAGCAGACCAGAAGCATGGTCTAGTCCATACTCAAATCAACAAGACCATTTATCTGTGATATACCTTTTTACTGTACAAGGATATAATCCCAAAGAGGGCAAGTTAAGAACCAGTCATCTGTATATATCACATTACCTCAGCAAAATACATGGTTACTATTCTTTTTTATTTTCTACAGCAATCAAGCATTTTTCCATACCACTCCACTCCAGCAGAGATTCAAACACTACCGGCTAAATATCTGAGAGTATATTACCTTGAACTCTGATAACCACTCCTCCACAGCCCCAGTATCCACAGCTAACATCTTCCAACATCCGTTCTAAGACCTTCAGCCTGAAAGAATAAGCAGAGTTTGTGAAAACTACACAGTCACTGCATTAAGTAGATGATGAAAATTAAGTCCCTGTGAATATTTAAAGACTCTTATCATGCTTTTACTTGTTAACATTTCACACGCTGACATTACTTTGAACTTTCATTCTACCTCACTTATGGAAGCATTAAGCATGGGAGACTTCACATACAGCAGTTTAATAAATTCCAAGTATGTATTGCGTGGGAAGCTCAGTAAGTCAAAGATTTGCAGAAATGGCATTTTGAAAACAGAAAATACTACTTTCTCCATTTCAATTTATTTTTCAGCTTACAGAACTCAAGAGAAAAGTGTATGGACTCACTGAAGAGAAATGACTGTTTAGCTTTTTCTTAGTCAACTGCTATTCCTAACTTGGAAAAGGTCACTGAAATAAAGGCTGATGGAAAACCTTTCAATCCTCCCCCACCATGGCAACTGCAAGACAATGAGCCTGCTGCCTCAGCAGGTAGCCTGAGCCCCTGCCCAATATCCTTTCAGAACAAGATCATCAGGACTAAGACTCGAACACATGAGATGCTTTCTGAGGATGAAAGGGGAATAAGGAAGGGCTAAGGAATTGTAAACCACAGAGGGACAAATTTAATTTGATTTGAACTGATTATAACGTTCTGAAAGAGGTTACTAAGGAGCCAATAAGGGCAGACTCTCTGTTGAACATCATACTTATAAACATGGAGAAACTGGGCAATGATGCGAAGGTCAGGGCAGCCATAGCTGCAGTGACCATGATGTGGTAGAGCATAGGATCCCAAGGAGAAGAAGGATCAGAGCAAGAAGGAGGATCAAGAATGCCCAGAATGGTTCATGGGCTTTTGCAAAAATACCACAAGCAACAGGAAGACTAGGGCTCCATGACGGAACGGGGCAGAGGACTTGCTGACAGAAGACATGGAAACTGGTACTCACTGCCACCTTTGCTTCTGTTGTTAGCACCAAGAGCAGCCCTCAGGAATCCCAGGCCTCTGAGCACCCACGACTGCCTCAACTGCCAGGCTCAAAGGGCTGACCACAGGGGTGTGCTGCCATTCACAGGGACACCAACAGGGTGGAGACATGAGCCAACACATGAATCTCGGGAAGTTTAAAAATATTATTTAAAAAACTGTGTGTAACACGCACAAATGATGGTCCTACTACAATTATTGAAGCAACAACCTCATCAAGTCCTACAGTATCACACATTCTACTATCCCTACCTTCATTCCTGTGAAGGTGGACAAAAGCTTTTGCAACCTCACATGCTTCAGCAGGGTTGACAATAGCAACCATTGCCCGAGAGCCATCAATAGCACAAATCCCTGTGGCAATATTTACTGCTCAAAGAAATGCATGATCTAAAGGTGTCCAGAGGAGTCCTGGATACTCCAAGTCTGTTGCTGACACCACATTTATCCAAGATACACATGGTCGTTTTTTTTTCACCTATTCTTACTGATCCATCAAGCAGATGGATCAGTATTTTCAGATTAAAGGCTCCAAGAGAAGACAGGATGTGTTTGACTAGTAAGAACAGTAACAACACCCTTGACTGGCATTATTCATGGGACTAAGAAAAGTATTTCAAGCTTTTATGACTAAGTATTTGAAGGCAAATTGGGTTTTTTGTTGTTTTGTTTCGCAATTTTTGCAAAACCGTGAACTTTTAAGATGAAATCTATAAAAAAGTTAACTAAAAGAAACAGGACAAAGTTTTTGCTGTCAGGTCTTTGATTTTTTTAGGTAGCAGAGGTATTCCATTGAGAGTTAAGGCAGTTGAGATGCACAGAAGATAAACTGTCCTTATTTTACCTTCATACATTAAAAAAACGCATGTACCTTTCTGAAAACTCTGTTTAACTCTGAGCACAGAAGCATCCAGTAACACACTTTTGAGTGTCACAAATAAGCAGTCTAATTTTGTAATTATTTCCCTTGAAGACAAAGATTATTATCTGCCAGACTGATCTATCCCCAAAAGGAAAAAATCCCCTCCATTCCACACATCAGGTGTGTGGGATCTATTAAAACTGGCAGACAACCTACTCCTTTGCTGAGGATTGACACATTCCGTGCTAGTTAAATAATATATCAAATTGTATTGCAACAATGTACGGACAGAGTCAGCAAACCTAAGACTGTTCTAAAGGAAGGATTAACAAATTTCAGTGAACACCACAATTTTTAATGAAGCCTATATAAAGTTTACAAAAGTAACTCTAAAACAGAATTTTTTAAACACAAAGTGAGCCAAAATAAAGCCTAATTTCTAGCATCTGTTAACCTCTTGGAAAAAAGCCCAAAAGGATTAAAAAAGCATGCCTTAATTATAGCTCCATTTCAGTGGATTCAATTGCAAGATAAAGGCCACTGTGAGCACTACATGTCCAGTCACTATGGAATTAAAACAAGAAGTAGATAAAGTAAATACATGCTACTTTAAAAAAAGCTGTGAAGTTATACTGAGAATGTACTCTATAAATACCAAAACTATAATGAAAATTCAAACAATGCAGCAAACATTACCCAGCAATTCTCCAAGAAAAGTCTTGTTTTAAAGTACATCGGCACATAAACACCCTTTGAATATTTTTTTCCCTTGATGTCTTCCTCTTAAGCCCCTTCAAGTTGTTCAGAGGAGTGGAGTTTGAGAATTTCTTTAAAAACAAACTGCTTTTGTCCCCACAAATCAAACAATACTGCTGATGAGCAGCTTTGAATCATAGCATGTCCCCATGTGCCTCATTTGAAGAGAGTAAGAGACAGAATCATTTGGATGCTCTGACAGAAGACAGTTGCAGGAAAGAGGAAGGAGTCTCAAAGATTCAACAAAGCTATCACAACGTTATTTGTGATGGATCTCTGTAACAGTCAGGTGGTCCATCTTTCTTGAACTTTTATTAGAAACATACATATCCTTATATCACACAAAGTAAAGCAACTTCAGGTGACACTCTCATTGCAGGTCTTATGATATTACTTCACATTTTCCACCTCATGAAAGCATGTGTAGCTACTGCAGCCCAGCTAACACATGACAAATTTATCTGTTTGTTTATGCCCTGTGAGTTAAAAGTACTTAGGAGTATTTTCCACAAGACTCTCAACTTGGATTAGTATAAATCCTATTTGTTGGTGCTAAGCAATAATTAAACTAATTTTCCTAGTAGAACATCTATTTAAGGTAAGCATACTTTAAGCCAGAGAGCCCTTAATAATCTCTAACATTGGAACTGTCGGACATATGGAACTTGAGCTCTAATACCAACAAGAGGAGAATAAGTCTAACTTACATTCCACTTGAAGTCTGCAATCCATTCTGATATAGCTTAAGTTAGGGCTTGTCTGGATATTTTCCCAAGTAATAAGCAGCCTCTAAGAGCTGTAAATTGATCGTGCTCTATTCTAATACTACAATAAAGCTCTCCTTACACAGGAGATACCAATTCTTGCTTTAAGACGAGTAGTACAAACAGAGCAAGATATTAGGCAAGTGTATCTGACCAAAATGAGTCTTGTTTAGAAGAGACTTCTACAAAATCTCTACAAACTCCATTATTTTTTCTATTACAGCACAGATACAACAGGAACTTACTGAATTTACTATTTTTAGGGGAAGGGGGACAGAGAGAAAGTTGCTATGCACTAAGCTAGTGGAGGGTAAGCCAAGAGGAATTAAGATGTACTCTCTGGCAAACTCAGTAATGGATTCACCTACTTAAAACAGCTTCAGTTTTTCATACCAGTCATTCAAGAATTATTATTTTTTTTTAATACAGTAATATCAAACCATGGCCTTGAGGAAGTCACAGACAATACATTCACAGGCTGCTCTTTAAAAAGAAATTCTCACAATTGGTGGCTTTCCCATTCTTTAAAGCTACCCAGCCTTTGTAGAATTCATCCACAGAATGCATGCATGTAAATGAAATCTGGATTAAGTACAAGGAAGCTGGACTTGGATGAAGAATGAACTCAAGTTCTGCAGAACTGACCTTCTGGAAGCACAGTAGTGGGTGTTTGCTAGTGGAAGTCAGAGCTGGAAAAAATAAAACCAGAAGCCAAAGACTGCTCAAGTCCTGTCCTCTGGGAATTGCTAGAAAAGGAAGGAAAGCATATACTGCATCCTTACCTAATCTGAAAAGTATCTGCTTGGAAGTGTGGACTATTTGCTAAGAAATTTTTTTTTAGCCTATGGGAAACATGGGACAGAAAGTTAAGATTTTTATGAATCATCAGCCAAATTTGTCAACTCATCCCAGAACAACAACAAAACAGACTTGTGAGCATTCAGATATACCAGACCCATAAGAGATCAAGTCCCTGGTACATGTCAATCTTGTATTTGATAGTAGTTTGTACACAGAAGTAGAGAAGGGCCTATTAGGACTCAACTTTTCCTACCCTTTCAACCAGTACAAGTACTATTAAAAACTTTTTAATCAGCTCTACACCATATGTCAAGTTCACTTAAGAACTACAGTCTGTACTTAAAATTCACACTGCCAAACCCCTTTCTCTCCCAGCTTGTTTCAGAGACAAAGACACAATCCTTGGTAAGCCTCACAACAGGAAAGAGCACTTGGGCAAGTGTATTCTTGAATAAATTGACAAAGAAGAGAATGTATTTTCCTGATTTCAATGCAGAACTCATTCTAGTGAAACAGGCTAGGTCTGGCTTCTTGACATTTTTCAAACTTGCACAAAGAAACAAAACACCCATTGTGCTCAGCCTGAAACAGTCACATACTCAAATACACAATGCAAGCAGTGCTTGAAGACTCAATATCAAGTATTCTCTGATAATCCTTATCATCAGTGTAAAATCAGGAGTGTCAACAAGATACCTACGGTGCATCAAGCATCACTGACACAGGCTCAAGCCAATTCCTAAAATGACAAGCGATTGCGAGTTAGCATCTTCTTATACAAGAACGAACAAGCATTGGGTGAAACGGTAGGAGACAGGCTCAAAGCAAAC